TTCTCGCCGCCGGCACCGTTGATATCGCCAACGACCATCTTGGCGCCTCCTGCGCATAGCGTCTGGCAATTGCGGCTCCAAATCCGGAGCCACCACCTGTTCGTCAATTTCTTAGGGAATGCGGATTTGAATAAACAAAAAGAAACGGGATGACAGGTTTGTGTGGATTCAGAGGCACACGTACCGGTGACGATGGCAACCTTGCCCTCTAGACGGGGGGCCATGATGTTTTTGCTGAGGGGTGTATAGGCAGGTTACTGGCAGTCGGTCAGTAGGAGGATAGGGATATCAGGGCTGGTGACGGGATTCTAGAAAAAACGTCAGCCGTTGCAAATGGTCTGGTCTCCTGGAGCCTCCTTTTAAACCGTCCTGCAGGAGATTTTTCTCTTCTTCACCACGTGGAATTGTGAAGGCCGTGAGTGAGAGGAATATAGGATATAGTACTTTTCAAGTACCAAACTAGCTCCGTTGCAGCGCAAGAATACTTTTCCAATAGCGCGAAATGGGCGGGGTGACAGGGAAAACATTGCACATACCGTTCTGTTTGCAATACTTTCAATAGTTCGAGCGGTGGTCGTTCAATAAGAATAGAAGAAGAGACGCGAGGGAAGAGGTTTTAGGTATTTTAGCAAAACTATTATTATAGCGGGTAAAAAGGCATCATCTGCGTGGGATTTTGATCTTTTAAACTTCTCTGTTGCCGAAGTGCGTCTTTGTTTCTTCGGCATGATTAGTGTTTCGGAGGGGTTCTACAGACTACGTATTTACTATCAGACTACTAGTTAGTTATTATTATTACCCATTGCCATTATCATGACAGGGGGTAAAACATGCGGGGGAAGCTTCTAGCCAGGTTGGCGGGCTTCTCCACAGCAAGTTTTCAGCAAGTTTATCAATGTGGGTGCCAACTTTAGTAAAGAGAGAATGACAATCCTAGTTACTAGTATCAAGACGGAGCCGTTGAATTTTTGAACACTCTAAGCAAACATCGCACCCGCCGGATATCATGGGCGTCGTCCCGGCTCTCGATATCGGGTTGCCCTGCGCCATTGGCCTTTAGCCATTAGCCGTGAGCCGTGAGCCGTGCTCGCTGCCAAATTGCCAAACCAGACCGGCAAAACAACCCGTGCGTTCGGCTTCTCGGTAATGCCGGCCAATCGCCAGCGTTGCCGTGGGGTTAGCATAAAATGCAGCCAGCCGATTTTTATCCAGAAAATGAGCAATAGGATTGATAGATAGATGAATAGATAGAGGTAGCTGCCGAAAGGTTGCAAATATTTTCGTTGGATCAGCTATTGTTGAAGTGCTCACTCCCATGGCTACAGAGGGCCTGAGAAGCATACATTTATGCAGATAATATAATCTGTCAAATGATAGACTGTTGGTCTAATCATCGCACGGCAGTTATTGTTTCAAGAGATAGTAAGAAGTTAGCGAAATCATTCATTCTTCATCGAACGAGTCTTACCCAAACAAAATCCTTGACATCCATTCCATTCCCGCCGTCCTTCTTCGGCAATGCTTCCCGGCACGGTCAACTTTTCCATTTCCGGACTGTTATGACTGCAGACATGCTCGATCTGCGGTAAGCTGGCTAAATTGATATTGGTTCTCTCTGCTATCGCGACAACCTCTTCGTGGCCAATGGAATAATGGATTACCCAAAAGACGAAAAGAGGTGGCAGACTTCGTGTCATCATGTTGATTATCGAAGCTCTCTACTATATCAATGCAGGGGGGTATTCTGAGCGTGCTATCTCCGCCTGCGTACCACTCACTATATTATTGTACTCCGTACTCTCTGACCACGCCTAATTCCCCCTTTCGGCATAGTGTGCCTATTCAGGAAAGGCGCCGCAACAGCACCCTTACTGATATAAGGGCCATGATGCCCTCACTGCTTCAACAACAGATTCTCCCTTCTTTGCATTTCTCTCTCACTTTTCATTTACCCCTCATGCTGTGCCGCCTCTGATGTGGTGATATCCTCTTTTTTCTCAGTTCTCAACAATCTGTTATTGTGCTTGCTGAAAAGGAACTGGTAAAAGCATAATGTATTCAATCATTGATGTTATCTGCAATCACATTCTGTCTTTCTGAGATAGACTTGTCTCCTAAAGCTAAGATACTACATTTTTGACTGTCAGTCATTTGCAATCATATTTGTCTTGAAAACAGATATCTTCTTAGATCTCAACTGAGATTGATCTCTGTGAAGTCTTCTACTGCTGCACTGCTGCTACTGCTACTAATCTCTATTATACTTTCTAGATCTCTGATCATATTTCTATATTCTGAAGATACTTCAGATGAAGCACTGCTCATAGCATGATAGAAGAGAAGCATGATGAGTAAATAAGTATAAAATAGATAAGTCTTAAATGTCAAGATATTGTCAGCAGTACATACACTGAACTTCTAGCACAGAACAGAAAAGTCTAAGATGCTAAGATATCAATCTCAACAGGTCATTCACACTAGAGTCTTTTACTGAATTTCTACTCTGTACAGAGTAGTTAGTCTGTTATAGTATCAGCTGCCTCAGCTGATCACAGCAGAAAACAATGCCAAGATGTCAGCTCAAGCCTTTATTAGATAAGTCTGAGTACAGAACACTCTTTTATCAGCTGAATTATTGATATAAAGTAGATTGTCTTGTATTATCTTGTAAGTCATCTTATAAACTAGGCATCTTTGCATATGAAGTACAGACAGAACATCTGCTATAACTGAATAGACAAAGAATGATTCTAGTCTATTCATGTTATTTGAAATTTTATTTGCAAAGCTGGCATTCTAGTATGAGACTTGAAAGAGAGACAATTGCATTAATTGTATTCTGAAATTGAAAAGATTCTATCAGATGAAATGTTCAAAGATGAACCTATTACAGAGATTCTTGATTAAGAGATTACTCAGTTTCTATCTCACTTCTGAATTGCAATAAAACTGTCTGTTTCAGATTCATCATTTCTCTAAGCATAGCCTGAGCATTTCTGGTCCTGATTGACAGCTAGAATAAAATCCTGCACCTCTTTTCACCATGTCAATTCACAGACTATAGAAGAGATAAAAGTCTGTAATCTCTTCTTTAGTTTTTCAGTATAAATATCATCTTTCTCTCTCTCTGTCTTTATCTTTATTTCAATTTGTTTTCCACTCTTCATTCACTGTCATAAGAAACTCACTGAGGGCTTCAGCTTCTATTTGCATTGCATTCAAGACAACTCAACATTAATAAGCATGTTCAGTTATGACTACTGAATCTGAACTCTGCAGTATCATCATTGTTGACAATAATACAGCAGCATCTCAGTTCTCATCACATGAGTGAGAGCTATGAAGAAAGAGATGTATTATGAACTATAGTCTTTCAGAGTATGAGACTCTGTTTAATGATGCAGAACTCAATTTCTTCATATTCATCTTCATATTCACAACATCACAGTCACTGAAGAAATGCAAAACATTTAACTTGAGAGCAGTTCTGATAAGATCTTTCTCTTACAGCTGAACTTGCTCTTTACTGATAATAAAATAGAAAGCAGCAAATCAAGAAATTCACATCATATTCAAAGCAAATTTTACAAAGATCAGAGATGTACAAGAAGAAGTACAGCATCTGAAGCTTTGAAATACTAAGCTATAAATCAAGCACTGTACAGAGCAGATAGAGAGAATGATTCAGATTCATCATCTGAAGACTGAGATCAGTCAGCTGAAGTCTCAATGTCAATGTTCAATATACTATATCATTTCTTCAGAGTGGAAAATCCTTCTGTGTGAACATAGATTCTGCTCAGAGTGTCTCTCTTCTATTTCAATGATCTGTGTATTATGTCATTGAGATATCACTGACTATATAAAGAGTTATTAGATAGCACAAGCCTCAATCACTCACTTTATGCTTGTTTTGCTGCTTGTGCAGTCCTCTCTTTCATCTCTACTCTCATCATCATCTTCTCTACCTCATCTTTCACCACCGCTGTCCCTACCACTATCACTGCCTCTTCTATCATCACTACTACCTCTATATTCTTCTACAGTCATCACATTACAGTGTTTTGCATGGAAAAGTTAGTTTTTCTATAATAAAGAGACAGCAGAGAGAAGAGAAATTTACACAGTTTAGCTTTCTGAGAATGATGTTTTTGAAATATGAGTGTATTTCATGCAGTTATATCTGTCAATCTGTTCATTGATGATGTTTACTTAAATTCTTTTGAAAGTGATATCAGATCACTGAATGAAAGATGAATTGTAACTTTTAACATTGAGAAAGAAAGTAGAGCATGTGATATAAATAGTATCTTGAGTATATTTATCTTATTCATCTATACTCATTTGAGAAAGTGATGAAATATGTTAACTGACAAGTGAAGCTCTCTGTGTTCTGATGCATTGAGCATATGAAGATTGAAATATGAAGTCTTTAGGCAGTGACTGCTGATAATTGAATGTGAGCAACATAGTCATTAGCAGTACCCAGGATATGAGAAGGAAGGATCATTACTGTGAGAGATAATAGAGAAGAGAGTGAACAACATGGCAAGATACTATTATCATGAGACAGTTTGTGTGATGTCATTTAAAGAGATCTAGAGAAAATTTGTTTGTATAATTTATTAAAATAAACAACTACACACAGAATTGCTAACAAATAACTAATCAGAAAATTCATAGTCTAGACAAAGTGAGGGCAAAAATCATTCATTTGAACTTCATACACAACCTGGTTATCTCAGCATGCTCAGTCTCTCTTCTCAATATTTTCAGATTAGTGTGATCAACTAAACTCCTTTAGACTTCTGCCAAGTCCTGCTAACTTCTGGACTAATAAGAGACTTCACATGTGCTTATAATCTAATATCTTGTAGAGAGTCTGAGAAGAAACAGTTCTATTATATATGAAAAATCAACTTCACTTATATAAAATATTTAATTGACTTCAGAATTATACATCTATTCTAAATATTTATCTAATCATTATTAAATTAATATTTTTTAAATTCTCAGTTATTCTGCTATTATCTCTGCTATTTTACAACTCACTATCTCTTCTCATCATATCACAATCATTGATAAAAGACAGTGTATCTTTTAAATCTTAAGATATTCAATATCAGACATACTTCAGTCAATATTCTTCATCACTTAAAAATAAATCCTCTCTACAATCACTACAGTCTCTTAACAATGTAGATAATAAATATAATATATCAAATAGTAACTTAACAGAGCTTGAATCTATTAATACTTCTTCAGAATTCAAGATCACTGATACTAATATCAATATCTCATAAGCTTGTTCATAATCAAACTACTGTAATTCACAGCATCTGTCTACAATGCCTTATAATCAGCAGAAAAGATAATTGAAATTATCTCATATTATCAGAATATTACAGTAAAATAGTTGAGAAATGAAGATCTTTATAGAGACTTAAATTCAGAGTTCTGATATCTTAACTCATTGATAATACAGTACTTCTATAAAGCAGTGAAATACACTATATTCAGCACTTTTCAAAGCAGAGATATTCAATGATAATCAATATTATACTATCTTACTTAAACAGAAGCTGAAATATTTTATTAATACTTTCTTCTTTGTAAAATTCAATCATGATTCTGATCTGAATATCATCAACTTTCAGACTGCTTTTAAAATTATTCAGACTGATATATTAACCTGATTTAATCTACTTACTTCTGTTCTAAAAAATAAACATATTAATTGAAAGAGCTATGAATAAGACTCAGATAAAACAACAGTTATTAAACAGCTATTTATTATTATAAGTATTATATATTACTCTTATTTCTTAAAAAACTCAAACTTCTTCAGCTCTATTCTCTCTGTATATTTTCATAACTTAAGAGT